TGAACTCCTCTTCTTCTTTTGTGTTCGTCTAGTTTGAGCAAAGGTCCTGAGTTGTCCTTTGTCTGCGTCATCTGGTTTGTTTCTCAGGTTCTCTGCCTCACGGGTCATTCGCGAAAACCCTAGCCTTTGGTTCGTGATCTTTCTGGTTTGTGATCTGTCATGGACTTGTGAGTTGAGTTGTCGTCATCGCTGGTTCTCTCCTGCTTTGATTCACACGATCGAAAAGCTGTCTACCCTTGTTCCTCTCGATTTGCCTTCAACTTCGGCCTCTTGCTCTGTGCTAGCTGTTCCAGAGTCGACTGACTCTTGTCTCTCTCTCTCTATGTGGTTCGAAGTTGACCCCACTGGTTATGAAATTACCTAGTTCTCTTTTATACTTATTTTTGGACCAAACAAATTCCTTATTATTATAGTTTGACCCCTCATTATTGATTATTACACTTGAACCCCTGGTTTGGTTACTTTGTTTTATTGCACTTTAACCCATCAATTTTCTAGTTTTACGATGTCTCGGCTTTGATGGTGTGCTTTTTTGTCATCAGAAGGGCCATTGGAAGTATCACTTCCAAGAGGGACGTCAGCCTGCCTCATTTTTTCAGCAATCTCAGAACCACTTCCGGTTCCTCCCACTGCGTATGTTGCATCTGCTCCGACTCCTGATCTTGACTGGCTTCCTTGACTGCTCAGATTAGTCAACCTTCAGCATATATTGTCTACCTCTCAGCCATCTCCATCTGCTTCCGTTGTTTCATCTCTTCATTCAGGTTTGCTTGGGTCTTCTTCATGTATCCTTTCGTCCTGTCTGACTTTTTGACTCTGGTGTCTCTCATCATATGACTTCCCATCTCTCCTTACTTCAACTTGTACTCCTCCTCCCTTTCCTATTACTGTCAATGCGGGTTAATTGTAGACGTCCCCGAACGCCCCGGGAAGGATCGCTCCCGTTCTGTTCATTTGGGGTATTTACAGCTCAGGCCTCTCAAATTGTCACGGTTCTAAGTCTGAACCAAGAGTCACAATCTGCAATCGTTTGAGAAAAAACAGATTTTTGAAAGAGAGTGCCAAACATGGACTGCTTTGCCAGATACAGAGTCGCCACCTAATATTTTATTTGGAAAAATTTAGGAAACCCTGACTCGTTGCTAAGGCCACGTGTGGGTCATCACCAAAGTTGCCTCGGCTCGGGAACTTGGGTCGATTGGGGAAGGTCACTTCGTGTAGCACCCCCGCTCGCCGATCAAAGATCGGCCTCTACTAACCATGATATCTATTTTTGAAACATATGTGTTCTTATTCGCGTTATTAGCCTAGATTTACTATGTGATGCGCACAACATACAATATAGACCGGGTCGCCTGAATTGGAACAATATATTCATGTTTGTTTTTTTGAAAGATGGTTTGCTACCCGCAGGTAGGCTTAAAATGCCGATTTTGCCACCCTCGGGTGGGCTTAGAAAAGATGGTTTTGCCACTATCTAGTGAGTTAGTTATAAAACACACAGTTGATGAATTGTTCCAATCCAAAGAACCCACCTCCACCCACAGGCATTCAAGCAGTTATATCACATAAGCAAAATAGCCTCATGGTAAGCATGCTTTATGGCAGTCACTCACACGTGCAAGGATGCTAAAGCATAAAATTCACCGTACTCCAAGCCAAAACAGAAACTCATTAGAAATCCATGTATGATCCTAGATACACAGGATTGCCTAATGCAACACATGCAAAGATGCAACTATAGCAGGCTGGCTATTTTAACATGGCCTATGGAATGCTACAGCTAACATGTATTCAACTTGGATATTGAATACAGATGCAGTTAGTATGATGCGCCGAGCCCGGTGCATGCAAGACAAATGAATGAATGCAAATATGCTATCATACTGTATGCTTAATTGAAATATGACCTAACTAACCATCATAAGCAGGGTAAATAAAGGGAAGAAGATGTGGGTTGGAGACATACATCATACTCACCAACACACTTATTACAATTATGCCCTCGCACAGAGGGTCCGAATAAATATACAGTCCCGAATAAAAGAATATTACAGTCCAAATAATACAGTCCAAATAATGTACAAATTCCTAATTAATTTACAAATTAACTAAGAAAGCTGTAAAACTGGTGTGCAAGCCAGGGATTGCCTTGATTCTGATGAATGATGTATGTTTAGGCTGCCTTGCGCGGAAATCCACTGGGATGCCCCAATTAGCCTCTGTTTGCACATGTTCTTGGAATGCGTGCCAAGCTCTAAAAAGCTGTTGATTCTTCATTTTGCTGCAACAGAGAGCAGGAAAGGGGCATGGCAATGTATTTTCACAAATGTAT